AATTAGGCAACTATTCTTCTGGTTTTTAAAAAATATTTTTGACCATAGTGGAGTCCTTCAAAGATGATTTCTTTCCAGAATATATCAGTTTCAATATAAAAGAACACCCTTGCAACAAAATAGTTTAACTTACCCCTGCTATAATGCTAAGCATCTTTCCTTATTTCCAAAAGTTTTTTAGTTGAAAATGTTGTATTCCAGTTTGGCAGCAAGGCTGGCTATATAACAGTAGATTGGGACCGATTGGATAAAGACATGAAGGAAGCACAAAGTAATATTCATAAAAAGCTTGCTGGCAGACAGAATAAGAGAGCTACAAAAAACTTTCTGAAACAGGTAAATTTCAACTCCTACTCATATCACTGCAATTTTATTTGTCAGAAATATCTGAAATGGCAGCACATTCTTTGATTGTTTCTCTTTAAGAACTACCACAACATGCTCAACCAAAAAAAGTGGCCATCTTTACTGTATTATTGCTAAGGCTCAATTGGTATAGACATACAGTACTAAATTTCAGCATGTAGTTATCTCTATCTCAACATGGTCATGCCAAGGTTTCAAAAAAGATCAGGTCATGTTATTTTTTCCTCTCCTTTATTCTATGATCTAATCAACAGTTATATTCTATCATCCATACATGAAATATTTGAGCAGCAAACAACCAACAGCAGTTGCTATAAAAATACTACAGATTGAAACTTGCCGCAGAGAACACTTTTTATTGAGTAAAACTAATTTGTCTATAAATTTTTATCTCATCTCAGGGAACAAAATTCTTTACGAGAAATATGGTGGCTGTTGGTGGTTTTCTTGGTGGATTTTTTCTTGGTGTGGCAACTTAATGCATGGTAGTCTGTATTACTTGAAAATGAGTGAAAAATCAGCTTAAAGCATGCATCATTGTTGTTGACAAGTTGGACTGAAGGCAACTGAAAGATGTTTATTTAAAATGTAAAGTTAAAGTGGTTGACAACATTTATGTGGATACTTCGAGACATGGTAGAATAAACCTTATGTTGAATTATTTAATGCAAAGCTTAACATTCAAAGGCATTGGTATATTGACAAATAAGATATAGTTCTCTTTTGGTATGTATACACAATATTTCCAATGAAACAATATTCCTATAGGTCACAGCAGAAAGAAAGTACATTTTCACAATGACCCACCCTATTTGCTGGTACATACAATCTCGTCTAAAATAAGAAGGGTAAATTCATTATAGAATAGCCACATCCTCATTTTATATACATAATTTTGAAATACCTGTCATCTGGAGCGAGGGTCCTATGAGAAAAATTTAGTATCCCTTATCTACAATTTTCTCTGTTGCTGGTATTTTCCTGTTTTTGAGCAGGGCCCTGTGTAATTTAACACTCTCTTAGAGTCAATGATGATTTGCGTAGTGTCTTTAAAAAATAGGCAAGTTAGTGCCCCTTTCCCATTTATCTTCTAATTTTAAATGGCCTCTCCATAATTTCAGTTTTTGTGACTGTATCGTTTTTAGCAATTGAAATTCCTATTAAATCAAATTTTAGCTGATTAGAAAGGCCTGTCTCATTTTCAAGCTTCTTGGAGGTCCTACTGTAACCCTTTGTCACAGCACAGTGACTCCAAGAACAAAGCACAAAGAGAAAAATTAAATAGAAAAGAAAATAGAGTCATTAATACAGTCAAGATATTGATACAGTTAAAGATTGTAAAAGAAACTGAAATTTTAACAAAGCAATTCAAAGATGCCTAGTAAATCAGTTACCTATTTGTTTCCTTGTGGGTTCCTTGATTTTTCTCATTTTTACTGAAGAATTCTTTCAGTTTTTCAAATGTTTCATTGCAAAATGTTTTAAACTAATTTGTAAAACAATAAGCAAGGACATGCTAAAGTTTGTTAAATATGTTATTCTGATTGCTAAAATGTAAAAACTTTCTCATTAGATATTTTTAGTAACTGGCTTTTCATTGGACTAACTGATGCAATAGTATTTTTCATTTTTGTTCCTTATTTACAGCTATTCAAGATTGTATATTTATGATGATTGATAAATAAAAGAAATGCTCAAATGAAACTCTGATTTTTGCTCTCTGAACACTAAAAGGCATAATGATATATTCAGTTAGTATGCATAGATTTATATACTTTAATTCCTTGAACAAAACATTTGCTACAGGAAAAACTTAAAATATGGAAATTAAAGAAGAAGGACTTCAAGTTCTTGCAATGGATGCAGGCGTTTAACATCTTTGTCTCTTCTTATAATAGTATTTGGCAGCTTCCTCAGTTTACTTATCTGTGACCTGTTGATATTAAGCTCTTTGCAACAAACATTTAACAGTTCTTCATATGTTAGCAATTTGTTATTTAACTCTACTTCGATGAAATCATCAGCTCCAGCAACACGAACTTTCAACACAAGTTCACTAACTGGGGTGCTCATAAACACTGTAGCAACAGGCGTGGTTTTGCATGAATTGTACAGTCTGTATTCAACTGGTTTCTCTAGACTCTTCATGCTGTTAACATATGTATTAACTAATGAACCAAGTTGTTGAACATGAGGTACAAACATTTGCTTAAAGTCTCCAGCTACTTGAAAATTAACTGGATTCTCATTGCCAGCCTCTTGGCTATTTTTACTTGTGTTATCATCTGCCATCTGATTCCCTGTGGCAACTGCATATGGTATAACTGGATTTGCTATATACCCTGGAACCAGAAGTGGCGGCTCTACTTTTTTCTCTTCTGATGAATTCTCTTTTGAATCAACTGTAACAGAACTTGCTCTTGCAGTCATTATCACTGGGTTTGCAATGTAGCCAGGGACAAGAACTGATTGTTCACTTTTTGAAACACCTCTGTCAACTGCTTGTGTGATGATAGGGTTGCCAGTTGCAACTGCGTACGGAAATACAGGATTAGCCAAATACCCAGGGACAAAACTCACAGCACCTGGCGCTGAAGATTTTACAGAGTCACCACTTTGCGCTTCGCGGCCTTCACCACATTCTGACTTCTCCTGTTCACGGCGTCCTTGTAGAACGTTTTGTATATCAGCAGTCAAAAGGCGCTTTATGTCTTCCCTTGAAGTTAAATCAACAGGTAACTCACCTTTAATATTCTTAATATTTGCGTTAGCGCCATGTTTAAGCAAGATTATGACTATATTGTCGTGATTTCGTTTTGCAGCCCAATGCAGCGCTGTCCAGCCGTTCACCTTGTTTCGGGAATTCACTTCAGCTCCTTCCTCTATGCCTTTCAAAACTTCGTGACTGTATCCATTGGAGCAGTCTTCTCTCAGCTTTTCATTTTGCTGGTATTTATCATATTCACTGCTGCTTGTCATGTTTGAACGCTAGGAATACTTCCAAAGTTTAACACACAACAACAGGCGCCACCAACACAAAGTGAATACTCTATCGGTCGCAGCATTTTGGGGAAGCCTCGATACCAAAATAGACAAAGGGAGGTTTAGGGACTTAATTCATGGGCATTTTCACTCTTTTTTGAAAAATAGAATGAAAATAAATATTCTATGCCTAAGATTTCGTAGCTTGGTGACGGAGAAAACAAAGGACTGCCAAATTTCAGAGAAGCAAAAAATCACAATTTTCGTTACCTGTTTGAAATCTTATTTGTGGCTGCTTGGATTAAAGACGCTTGGAATAAACTGTTTTCTTGGAATGGCTTAAATGTCTCTTATACCCCCCCCCAGCCCAATAAAGCAAAAAAAACTATAAACTTCTACTTCTACGAATTTAATCAACTACTTCAA